GCAAACCAGTGATTATAAAAAACGTTTTTTCGGTTTAATATTGATTTTTATAAATGCAATGACAATTCAAAAGAAAAAATACTTTCGTTCCAACTTCCAATAAAGACATTTTATAATAAAAGAATATGTAAATATGATCATAATTAAACATTTCAATATAAACATTAACGCAGATATTGTAGTACCATTGTCATAGAGCGCAAATAGGGGCGTACTCTTTCCCCAGAAATTGAATATACGGAAATTTCAGAACTACACAAAAAAGAAAAATAACGAAAATATTTGAAAATGCCAAAACTTTCAGTTCACAATAATCCCTAGTTGCGCCTTGTTTTGTCTGTTCTATTCATTATTCTATGAAAACAATCTGAGAACAATGAAAGAGTTAAAAAATAAATAAAATAAACGAAATGAACAAGTTTACGTCAGAAATATGAAGACAAGGCTATACATGCGTCATGCCAAGGTTATAATGCAAGGAAAGTTATTTCAGAGGTGTACGCATGTACACATCTTTTGTATGGTAGTGTACTGTCTCTGGGCGGTAATGTGAATAAAGGACGGATGTCGAAGCCCGACATATGGGATCCATCTTTTGCATAAAAAATCAATGAAATATTCTGGTCAAAGAAAACTATTATGTGAATGATTATCAAAATTCAATGCTTTTATCCTCTTTGGATACTAAACCAACACTGATGCACCCATTCTTGTTTACAAATTCCGCCCAGAGAGAACTGGTTTCAATATGTACGCAGAGAATACGCAACTGCAATTTACTTTCCTTGCATTATAACCTTGATTGCAGGGAATTAGGAATATGAGAAAATAGATAGTACTAATTCCGTACGGTCGTCTCTGAAGCTTCATTCTTTGTGCGTAACACTGTTTATATGTATATGCTATATATGCTAAATGTATGCTTTTTGTTGCTGATATACCTTTACAAGCTTTTCGGACATTTTAAATAAGAACAACAACAAATTTACCAGTTTTCCTGATTTTAATGGAGGATTCCCATTCTTAAAATGAAAATTATTTTAAAGCATCTTTTTTACTTCAAAGTTACCAAAAAAAATTTAGGCCTGTTTTGACACTTATTCGACACAAACAAACAGCTCAATTTACAGACAAGCCAAATATACGTATATACAAGGAGAATTGAATAGAAGGAGGGGGCAATAGGGTTTCCTTGCATACATATATATTAGTATACATGTCGCTGTAATAAGAGTATAAGTTCTATTCGTAATTCTTACATATGATACAGACAAAAACATATTTTTAAATGGGACAAGCTTATAATTTTCAAAATAAATTTTATTAAAAGTTTACAACAAAGGATGGAAACAACTACAAAAAAGAAAATATTTCCTTTGGAAGAATGAAGACTAAAATTAACAAAAAACCTTTAAAGTAAGTTTAAAAAACTAATACATACTATATAATGAATAAGTACAGAATGTAAATAAAACATACTAATGAATAAGTACAGGATGTAAGAAACCAGAAAATTGAATTTGTAAATTAAACAATAATGAATGACATTTAACAAAATGCCCTGAAACTGTTAAAATTAACCCGGGGCAAATATTTTCGCCCGAATTTTTGAAAATTCGCATGAAAAAAAAAAAATAATGTCGGGAGCGGGTTTGTGTGTGTGTGGAATAACCCTGTAGGTAAGGGAGATATTTACCCCGGTAATCTATGTATTTAACGCCCCTGGGAGAACACTATTGAATTGTTACTCTACGAGACAAACAATATACTTGTTCTCATATCTACATATTTTACATTTTTTACAAGCCTTACAGTCTACAGTCTACAGTCTACAGTCTACAGTCTACACTCTACAGTCTACAGTCTACAGCCTATAGTCTACAGTCTACAGTGTACATACAGTATACAGTCTACAGTCTACCGTCTACAGTCTACCGTTTACAGTCTACAGCCTACAGTCTACAGTCTACAGTCTACACTCTACACTCTACACTCTACAGTCTACAGCCTACAGTCTACAGTCTACATACAGTCTACAGTCTACAGTCTACAGTCTACAAATCTAACGCCAGAGATGCACCAAATGTCTGTTTATCATTTTTATTATTGTATACAATCTTTATTATTGTTGTTACGCAAAAACTAGTTCTCCAGCAGTCCAAAAACGTCACAGCAAAGTGTACGGAAACCCTATTGCCCCCTCCTTGTATTCAATTCTCCTTGGACCAAATAATCTAAGTTTTAAATATCAGAGAAAACAGTTAAAAAAAGAATCAATATATCAGATTTTCAACATAAATGTGTGTTAAAAATGATTAAGCGTATCCGATAAAAGTGTTGAAATATAACAGATAAAAAAATGAATGATACTTTGAGAACCAGAAAACTCTGGAATAGGAAGTCGACTTTTAGACTCAATTCATGATTTTAGATAGTTTAATGAACATGAGGCACAGCAATTAGGCCGTGTAAACAGACCCATTTCAATAAATAAGGATCTAACAACTAACTAGTAAAGCTATTTGCTTAGTAACAGCATCAAATGAACTTCAGTAATATCGCCTTCCTATTCTAAAGTTTTCTTGTTCTCTCTGTAATTGGATCAACGTGAACTGTATAGAA